CGATATGCGATCTTTACTATTATAGCTTAGCGATCATTGCCCGAAGTTCGCGACGTAGAATTTTGCCGGAAGGAGACTTCGGTACGGCATCGATAAATTGCACTCCGCCATACAGCCATTTTTGCGGCGACAGTTTCTCTGCAAGATAAATTGAATTGCTTGGTTAATGTATGTACAGGTCGTCGCTCGGCTTGCGTTTGCTATTAAAATGCAATGTCAAGACAAGGTGGAATATTTCTATGCTCTCGCTGCACCGTATATTTAAGTTACAGAGACAACCGGGATAAAATTAACAAGTTTGTTAATCACAGCATATTTAATAATATTACAATGCCACGTCGCTAATAAGCTAATAATGTAAGCATTAAATGCTGTTATTATATCATTCGTTTTTTCACTATTAACAGTATATTTTACTTATAAATTTAAATTGAAACGCGATGATATTAACACATTATATTGTTGCAAACAATTCATTAAATTTTTTATTTTTAATTAATTAAGCATTCATATACTTTTAATATTTTTTTAAATCTGTTTTAGAATATATTTCTATTTTTCTCTTATTTTAAAGTGTCGAGAAAACTTAAAAATAAAATTTTATTCGGACCAAAAGTTAAATAAAGTATGACTTTTGAAAGGAACAAGACGGCAGAGAATTTCTCGAAATATTTTCAGAATTTAAATAACGTCTTAATGATTAATAATAATGAAATTTATAAAATACCGAAGAGAATCTTTGGCTGAATGATAACTTACGTTTGATCAAGTCGTGCAAATCCTTGGCGGTGACTTTAGCACCTGGTTGCTTTACTACAAAAGCTACGGCCCTCTCTCCATCGCGTTCGTCAGGTTTCGAGGCGACCGCGGCGTCTTTCACCTCGGGATGCGATAGTAAAACCGTCTCTATTTCCGACGGTGAGACCTGAAAGCCTTTGTACTTGATCAGCTCCTTAACGCGATCGATCACGTGCAACCTGTCCTTATCGTCGTAGTAGCCAATGTCGCCGGTGTGAAGCCATCCGTCCTGGTCGATGGTTTGCCTGGTGGACTCAGGATTGTCCCAATAACCCAACATTACTTGCTCTCCCAAGTAGCAGATCTCGCCCACCTGACCAGCATCGAGCGTCTCTTGTGTCTCGATATCGACGACTTTGCTAAGAAAACCAGGTAGGGGTACGCCGGATTGTGGAGTTTCGTGTGAATCGTCATCGTCATCGTCGCGCGAGCTCAATCCGCTCACTATCGACAGCTCCGTCATGCCGTAGCCATTGCGAATAGCTTTTATGCCAAGACGACCTTTCACTGCAGCTATCATCTGCGAAAGAAAAGAATAAACAAATTACTTTGAATTACTTAGATTAACCACTGTTTCCGAACTGTAATTGTAACGACATCAAGCAATTTTTAATTCGATCAGTCTAATTAATTAATTAATTTAATTAGTTTTAATTGGCTTGTAAGAGTACGACCTAAAAATGTCATACAGAAGCAAAATTCTCGGCAGTGTGAGTTTTGTTCAACTAAGAAATTAATAAATATATTTTTCATAGCATTTTTCTTCTCTCAGTTTTAGCGTTTGTTTTATCGCAAATTTTGTTTCTCAATCGCGCGGGAGACAAAGACAACTGGATATCCAACTGGAAAGTGGCATTCGTGGGACATTTAAGTTCAGAGGCGTGTTTGGTTTTTGAAACTTTAAGAGCTCCACCCCTCTCCTCCCACCTCCCACCCTTTACGCCGTGTCTGTCGATAAGGGATCAGTTTCGTATTTTCCGAAAGACGCGATTGTGAAACTCGCGAATGTGGCCTTTTATTTTCTCCCCCTCCCCCTCCACTCCTTCTTAGCGACTTCATGAACCGGTTAAACAAAAACGAACGAGCGATAAAGTTACTCGCGGGCCGTGCCTAGTGAAAACGCGACGACTTCCCGAGACTTCCCTCTCGCAGTCCTCCGATTCGATCCTCTCACCACCGCGCCGCGGCATCGAGGACTCACTTCGGCACTTAGCCCCCTCGATGGCTGCTTTTCTTGCCGCGATAACTTGGCCGGGGGTTGGCTGGCAGGCAGAGGGACGACAAACTTCACGATGACAGAAGAAAACTTACGTCCTTCGCAAGCGGCGCCGCTCCGCAGATGAGTTCTCTCACGCTGCGAAAGTCGTACCTTTCCACTAACGGATGCTTCGCCAGAAACGTCAGGATCGACGGCACGGTGGGCACATGAGTGATCTTATATTCCTGTATCAGGGTCAGGAAGAGTTTCGGCTCGAAGGCTGGCATTATAATCGCGGTGGAATTCGAGTAAAGACAAACGAACAGCAGGCTCATTCCATAGCCGTGATAAAACGGCACGAGCAACAATATTCTGCCGTTCTTCGTATCTAGGTATCTAGGTTGGCTGTATTTTGAAATTAGATCCGACATATTTAAATTCAATTCAAAAGCGAAATTCTTAATGGTATTTCATCAAAGCAAAAAAAGATTGCACTGTTTTTTTTGTACATGTGCAGTTTGCGATTAAATCGTGAGAATTAAAGTTGATAGTAAAAAATTAAAGTTAGAAATAGATAAAAATATATTAGAATAACAGTGATAATTTCAATTTTGAAGTAATTAGTGTAACATATTAACTTTCGTATTAAAATTAAATCTCCATTTGAATTAAATATTCAAACAGTGAAGTACAAATCTGTTTGAAACCATGCGTTTTCGATTAAATATACGTTAATTTAATTTTATGAAATTTCAAAATGTATGTTGATTAATAGGCATATCTTTGTACAACTTGCCTTATTTTCGTTAAAAACGCTATTAGATTTTTATGGGATAACGTTACTCCTTTGGGCAATCCCGTGGTTCCACTCGAACAGAGAATAACTAATGGGTGCCGACTGGGGTCACCGATATCTGCAGCTTTATATGTCATGTAATTTACGGCTGGTTCCTTATTCAAGATGTCCGTCAACGTACGAACATTCACCGTAAGTGGTTGATCGTCCATTTGTATTAATTCCACTTTCCAGGATAAGGTTGATAGGATTTTGGCCAAAAGAAGTTCGGTGCGATGAGACACAAAAATAATACGTGGCTTTCCGATGTTTAATATGTGCTTATACTCATCTGAACAATGAACATTTAGAATTAGTATTTAAATCCTGTATATGAGAAGAATTATTTATATAAGACGAATTAAACTTGTTATGAATATAATATAAATGTCTTCAAATTATTATACATAAAACTTGCATAATTATTTTTATATTTTAGTAGTTTCACTTGCAAGAAAACATGTGTAATACGAAAAATATACATGTATGCGTGTAAAATATTGGATGACAATACTTTTACTCACACTCCGTGTACATAAAACTGTATGGTGTCCATATAGCACCCAGATAAAAAGTCGCACAAGCTGGTATTAACCAATTCAATCGATTTTCAGTTGCGATGCCAATTCTGTCTCCCATTTTTATCCCGTACCTTTGAAGAAAGTTTGCCAATTTTACACTTTTCTCGAGTATTTCTCTATGCGTTATCTGTTTGCGAGTTGGTCCGTCTATCTATAAAAAAAAAAAATAACCTCTTTACAATTATGTAAAGTTAATTTAACCATCAGATATTCTGAAGATAGAGAGGATCTCTTTTAATCGCCTGAAATGAGTAGTCGAGTCTTTTAACGCACGTTAAAATGTATCATGCATTTTAAGCGAAATTATATTCAAAAACCTACTATTAAAAATACAGATACGAGAGAATACGTGTCTAGTTTAAATTAAAAAATTGCTATGCATACTACTAGAACGCATAACTACGAAAAAATTTGATTATTCCTTATCGTGAAATATTTATATGTAAAATGTTTTTTTCTGTACATTTGATGTATTAATAACATCTATGTATTACTTTTCAAAGAATATCATTTTTTTGCGAGTGTCTAGTGTACATAAAACAGTGTCTGGAACACATAAAACAGAACTGATATAAGAATGCAAAATGAACAAACCAGAAGCCAATTTATTATTTAGCGGCGTATAATGCGTCAGGGAAATTCAGAAATGGAATTCACGAATTTTGCCTCTGGCAATTAACGCCGATGGGATTACAAAAAATTTTTGTGTTGTTTTGGCACACTCTGTTATTACATCGCGAAATTTCGCAGGCGATCATCCCGTAATTGGCAATCGCTATCATGCGTTTCGTAATTACGGTACATACTGCATAAACACGATCGCCATTCTCACGCAACTTGTCCAGTACGATTTCTCCCAAAGATACGTTCGGCGTTGGTCGTTCCAGGCGGCTTTCATATATTTTTCCCATCTTTACAATAACGTGGAGTTCGTCCCACAGATTGTGATATTTCTAGCTGAAAAATAATATAAACATATTTTTAAATTAAAATGATTAATAGAAAATAACATTTATCTAAAATTATCTAAATTTTTATTGTAGAATAAAATATTTTTAATTAACGTATTTATAATTTAAAATTATAAAAATTAATTATATAAATCCAATAAGTTATTTATTTAAAATTTTCACTAAGGATATTTGATATTTTATTTGGCTGGATATCCATTATTAAAATCAGAACAATATAGATTTTCCTATTCTACTCCAAGAAAATTCTATTTCAAGCGAAATAAAAAAATGTAATTATCCATTTTTATTATCTAAGCTTATTTGTTTCTGAGTAGTTTTTATTATGCGTCAAATGTTTATCATCAGCGCGTTAAATTACGATCATAATACGTAAAGATGGCCGCGAGATTGCGCTGTAATTGCGCATTATCACTCGGCGGGGAGTGACATGTACTCGATTTCGCGATTTGAAATATTGAAAAATATTCATAACTTGGTGTCAACAGATATCTTATATTATGTTATATTAAATGTATTCTCCATTATCTATTACCTCGTTCTGGCGTAAACTCGCGCATCATGCATGTTGATTTGATGAGATTGGTACGACGAGATTATGGTTTCATGAAAAAAATGCCATTTTCGCTTTGCCATTAGCACAGTTTAATTTCGCAGTTTGTTTCTAGAATTTAACGAGGTGAAAACGATTCGAATAAGAAAACGCGGAACTATTTGCATTTATTTGAGGATAAAGAAATGGAAAAATAAAAGACGAAATAATCGAAAAGGTGATTGCTACAATGGTGAGTTACAAAATATTTAATATTTATTATCAAGACGCCGTTGTTGTAAATAAATAAATAGCATTGAGATTCTATGATCACATTATTTTGTTTGAGCACAAAATTGTATATTATCAACGTGTAAAGTTTTAAATTTGTGGTGTCACGAAATCGAGAACAAAATTGTTGGAATTTATAGTAAATGCAACAATAACATTAAAAAATGTATTTAGTAAATCGCGTATAGAAACGAGACACATAAATTATACAAGTCCACATTTTTTATTCTATATTCTCTATACATAACTATATTCTCATATACATATGAATGTTTATTCAAATTAAATTTCTATATAAATATAAATATTTATTACATCTGTGATACTTTTTTTATTTTCTATGATATTTTTTAAAAGATAAAATTTAAAACTTACGTAATAAACTTGGGTTTTACAAGATGTTATACGTACATCTTTTTTAAATAAATTAATTAACACATCTCCTTTTAGTTACATTGTTTGAAATAATTAATTGTGACAATAACTGATATAACAAATAATTAATTAAAACTACTTGAATGATATAATGATAATACATATGAATCTCAAAAATAATAAAATTTTCGATAATTAAGCGAAATTTAATATCGTGCGCAATATTCGGATAATATTTAACATTATGTGATAGAAAGAATGACACAAAAAAAAACTCTGGCGATTATTCTGTTTTCATTAGAATGTATGGCATGGTGTTCCTCTGGCATTCAGTTGGATGTCCTTGGATATACAGGATGATATCGGGCGGAGGGATGGACGGGAATGCGATCCTCCTGGGGTTTATACGTGGGTAGAGAAGCGTGCCACGAGTTCCACGCGGTGGCCATAATCGTGAGGAAAAAGTACGGGAAATTCTTAAATACCTTAGTTCGAGTTTCTCGGTTTTCTCCGACTCTCTTGAAGTACAATAATATTTTTTGTGCTCGGGCAAGTTATCTGATATTGTCTGATAACACTTTACACACGGCTTAATAAAATAGCAGATAGTAGTGCGAAAGTAGAAATTATGTAAGATGACTTTTTTGAAATGTTCATGATTTATAAAACTATAAAAGTTTTATAAACAAAATTGCGTAAATTAAAAATAAGTAAAAATAAATTAAAAATAAAATTAAATACGTGTCGTAGCAATTACATGAACGCGAAAAACCAAGTTCATTAATTAAGGTTTACTTTATATACAAATTTATATTAAAAATAAATTTAATTATAAATTATAAATTTAGTATATATGATGCCTTA